AGTAATAATAGATATCGATCCCATAGGGACTCGTAATCAATCTAGTATTATCGGGTGTTACGGTGTTTAGCTAGGTCGGTTTGGTTTCAAGTTGAATAATAGCAGAATAGATGCGTAAACTAAAGGGAACTAAAACTTTTACTTAAGGTATGAATTTATAAATCGATATGCAATAATTTTGTTCTTCGGGGATTCGACAAATTACTGGCGTATTAAGTGTTTTCAAACTTAGTTTAAGAAGAAAATAGTGATCTAAAGACTTTTGTCTCACGATGGTTGTTGACGCTAGTCGCAACTCTAAGGCGGAACGTATGCTGTCGCTATCCCGTTCGAGGTTAAAGTTACTTTTTGAAAATCTCTAAGTTCTAATCCTTTTTAAAGCGCTTTCGCTGTTTTTAAATCGAATGCCTAGTTTTTACTATCTGGTTCTAGCCTCAGCTGTCGCTTGTTGGTTTGTACCTTAATATGGTTTCCCACTGTCGTGGCAAAACTATTTTTAAATAAGTTCTCGCTGTCGCGACGAACGTTTACTTAGAAATTTTAATTAAAAACTAAAACCATAACTGAGTTTTGAAAAGAGATAGATTACGCCAATTATTATCAAATCCCGTCCGAATTATTATTACATATCGATTCGGTAATTTAGCTAGACATGGAAAAAGAAATGATAATGCATAAATAAGAGCAGTAATTAAGAACATATATCATAATGAAAATTTGCAATTACGATTAAAATAAAAACCTATGAATATCCCAATTGGCTTTTGGGCAGATCCTCCACAATGTTGGCAGGATTCTGGTCTTTGTGCCAATTGATCGTACAAGAAAAATGGAAAGTACAAAATACCAAAGAATACAGAGAAGGAAAAGAGAAACAAATATGAATATAAGAACGGTAAGGTTGCTCTGAAGATAAATTGGCAGCACTTCGTTTTCTTGAATGCGGCTCCCTTTTTCAGGTCCCAACTTCTTCCTTTTATAGAGAGAGAGTATCTAACGGTTATTCCTTTAGGAAGTGGGTTTGAGGCAGAAAAGTAGGAGTTAGTGGTCACACTTTTGGTCTTTGAGGGGGAGTTTTAGCACGTGACTTCATTCTGCACGTTCTGGGTGCATGACGGTCGTCATGGAGGTATGACGGTCGTCACACGCATGACGAGCGTAACGGCCATGTGACGATCGTCACATCAGTAGAACTCGTATCTGCTGTTTTTCTCTTGGTTTTTCATCTGTTTTTCACCCGTTTTTGCTCATTTTCTTCATATTGCTTTGCTTGGAAATGTTCTTTGAATACCTGCATAATACTTAGACAAATAGCATGGAATGTCCTGAATTCGGAGTGAAATCAGTCGAATATTAGTTAAAACACATGTCATTTTATATATACAATTTCGCGTTATCACTGGTCGAAACTCAAACTGGCAGAAAGGTCAAGAGGTTGAGAATCGACAATGGCCGTGAATTCTGCAACGAAGTGTTTGACAGTTCTGTGTTGAGTCTGGGATTTCAAGGCATAAGAATGTAGTAAGTACTCCTTAACAAAATGGCTTAGCTGAGAGATTCAATCGAACAATTCTTGAAAGGGTTAGATGCATCTTGGTTAGTGTTGGATTAAAGAAGGTATTTTGCGCAGAAGATGTTTCAACAACAGCTTACCTGATAAATAGATGTCCCTTGACTGCCTTAGGAATGAAGACACCTAAAGAAGTTTGGTCAAGACATCCACCTAGTCTCGATAGACTGAGAGTATTTGGTTGTGTGGCCTATGCTCATATTAGGCAAGACAAGGTCGAACCTAGAGCTCTAAAATGCATGTTCATGGGATACCCTGAAGGAGTCAAAGCTTATAGGCTATGGTGCCTAGAGCCAGGTCACAGGAGGTGTATCACTAGTCGAGATGTAGTTTTCAATGAAGCAAAGATGGCTTTCAAGAAAACTGATAATGCTGACGAAGAGCTGGAATAGGGAGAGATTCCTGTTGAAGTGGAGCATGTTGATGCTGAATTGCGTACCCCAGATGAAGTCGAAGAAGACACACAAAATGTTGTCGAAGTTGAGGAGACTGATAATGACTACCTGCTAGCAAGAGACAGATCGAGGAGAGTCATTAAGCCACCATAGAGACTTGGGTATGCAGATCTTATAGATTATGCCTTAATCTCTGCAAGTGAGGTTCTAAAGGAAGAACCTAGAGACTATAAGGAAGTTATGAGGAGTCGAAAGAAGACTGAATGACTGAAGGTCATGGATGATGAGATGGAATCTCTTCATGATAACAACAACTGGGAACTAATCAAGAAACCTGCTGAAGCCAGGTTAGTCAGTTGTAAATGGATTTTCAGAGTTAAGGAATGAATCGAAGGAGTGGCGTCGAAGAGATACAAGGTAAGATTGGTTGCTAGGGGGTTCACTCAGAAAGAAGGTATCGACTTTAATGATGTGTTCTCTCCTGTTGTGAAGCTCATATCCATTTGAATGTTGCTTGCCACAGTGGTACATTTCAACTTTGAACTAGAACAGATGGATGTGAAGATTGCGTTCTTGTATGGTGACTTAGATAAAACAATCTTGATGAGGAAACCTGAAGGGTATGTCGAAAAAGGGAAGGAAACAGTGGAATAGAAGATTCGACAAGTTCATGGCACGCATAAGTTTCATCAGAAGTCAGTTCGACCACTGTGTTTACTTCAGATTTCGACCGGGTAATTCATTTATTATTTTGTTACTCTATATGGATGATATTCTAATAGCAAGCAACAATGTCGAAAAGGTAATGAGGATGAAGGCTGAACTTAATAAGGAGTTCGATATGAAGGATTTAGAAGTTGCGTCCAGGATTCTTGGGATTGACATCCGAAGAGATAGAAAGCAGTCGAGATTGTGCTTATCTCAAGAGGCATACCTACAAAAGGTTCTCGAAAAGTTTGGTATGTCAAATTCAAAGTCTGTTGTGACTCCGACAAACCCTCAATTCAAGCTAAGTATAGATCAATGTCCAAGCATTGATGTTGAAAGAACTTATATGAATAGCATTTTGTATGCTAATATAGTGGGTTCTTTGATGTATGCTACGGTCTGTACTAGACACGACATAACATATGCAGTAAGTCTTGTAAGCATGTACATAGCAAATCTTGGAGAGGCTCGCTGGCAAGTATTGAAGTGGATTCTAAGGTACATAAATGGGTATTTAAATAGAGTCCTAATTTATGGTGAAGCCTTGGGTGAAGATAGTAAAGCAACAATCGAAGGATATGTCGACTCTGATTATGCAGGTTGTATGGATTCTAGAAAATCTATTTCTGGATATGTGTTCATTATGTTTGGGACAACAATCCGTTGGAAAGCAACACTTCAGAAGGTCATTGCCTTATCAACCACTGAAGCGGAGTATATTGCCCTAACTAAAGCTGTGAAGGAAGCATTGTGGGTTGAAGGTTTTGCAAAGGAGCTGAAACTTCAAAGTCGAGTTATCACTGTTAAATGTGATAGTCAAATTGCAATACACCTGTCGAAGAATTCAACCTATCATGAGCGAACCAAGCATATTGATGTGAGGCTTCATTTCGTCAGAGGGGTAATCGAGCGTGAAGAAGTCCAAGTGCTAAAGGTTTTGACATATTATAATGTTGATGATATGATCACCAAGACGTTGCCAAGTTGCAAGTTTTTCCACTGTATGCAGTTGATAAAGCTGCATGAAGAAAGCTAGTTTCTTGATGTTATAGAGTTATATCCAAGGTGGAGACTTGTGAGATATTGGATCAAACTCTAGTATGGTCGAAGGGTAACTTCTGGTTCGACAGAAATTAAGCATGAGGTCGAAGTCTGTTCGCATGTTGCTGTCGAAGATAATGCGTGTTGTAGTCGAAGTTTGTTCTAACATGCATTAGTTAATATTGCTAGGTTGTTAGCATATTGAATTGGGCCTTGCTTGTAAGCCCAAGTGTTTAAGTTAGCTTGTAATGGATAATTGTTAAAAAGCCTATTAGGTTAGTGTGTTATTTTTCTTATAAATAGGATGATAGTTTCTCAATCTTGGCATAAGGAAAAATAGGAAGATAAAATTCTAATTTCAAGAGAGAGAGGTTATCTAGTTATTCTTGTATACTTGTAATCTTGTTATAAGAGAAAGGAAAGAATAACTATTTATAACCAATCCTTGTTGTTCCTTGTTGTTTTACCTTGTCTTCTTTGTTAACTTTAATCCTTGTGTGTTCCTTGATTATTAAGAAATCGTTTATACTTTGTTTTAAGGTATCTGTTTCACAGTTTTTGTTTTTATTTCTTAAATCTTATTTTTTAGAATTATTTCATAAATAGTAAAATTTAATTCCTAAAGTAAAAATTCGCAGAATAATTCCAAAGAAAATTTGCAAAAAAATCCTGCCGATTTTAAATTCATAAGAAAATTCAAAGAAAATTCGATAAAAAACTTGTAAATTTTTCTACGAATTTGAATTTTAAGGACTAAAACAAAAACAAAAAATATTCAAGAAATAATTTTTTTTAAAAAAAATAAAAACTAAAACCAAACGATAAAAACTATTTAAGCATAAATATTTTCTATATTACGATTGGAGTCTAATAGAAGTTGAGATGAAAGCCGTCAGGTCAAGAACATCATGATTCAAAATTACAAGAAAAATTGTAAAAGTAAAGACTCATACATATACTCATAAAAAACTTATTTAGCTTTGAATACAATACAATTTTTTTTAGCAACATAAACACAAATTGCAAGCACACTAGTAGTATCCTATTACCAATAAAGAATGGAGATCCAGAATACGATTTCGACATTGATATACTATTGATATGGAGACATTGATAATAATGGATGGACACTTGGAATACGATTTCGACACTGATATACTATTGATATGGAGACACTTATAATAATTTTAAAATATAAATAATTTAAACGTAATCATAAATGTTGATGCAGGGGTTCGATAGTGACACAACATAAATTTTTTCGAAGCTACATAACTTATTACAAATCACATGCTAGATGAACCTTGTGATTTCAACTTAGGGATCCAAATATAATTATCAGCTGGAAAAAAGTGACACACAGAAGAACTTCCTGGTGTAACACCAAGAACTTGAAATGAAACATGACTTGGTGCCCATTGTGATGTATCCATGTGACAAACAACCATAGCTTCAACTTTATCTCCATTCTCACCTCCCAATAATACTTTATACACCCTATTCTCACTTTCTTGACTATGACAATAAAAAACAGCAAAAGGGTAAGGCACAGTGTGACAAGCCACCATTTTTGGAGCTAGAATTTCCATCAAAATTTCAACTATAGTGTAATTTTGAAAAGTAACACTTGATTTTGTTTTATGCAAAGTTGCATAGACTTGGATTTCAGAATTTGAACCAAGAGTGTTTTGTGTGAATTCAAGCATGGATTGTAATGAAGTAGCACAGAATTTGACTTCTCCTTTGATGTGTTTGCTTTCACATTCTTGTAAGGTGTTTTCCATAGCCATGGCTTGTGGAGTGTTTGGAGAAAAAGAGAAGAATTTGAGAAGATATGAGAGTTGGTTTGATGAGAAAGGAAGTGATTCAGCTTCTTCTTTTGACCATAACTTTGGAGAAGTTGAAGGGTCTCTCTTAGGGAAATAAATTTGCATTTTTTTTCCAACTTTCAAATCTTTCAAAGTGAAAAACACCATTAATGAAGGATCAATATTATGAGTCATATGATTATGTTGTTGATGATGATGATGGTTGTGTTGAATTTTCAATGATTTGTTTTCTGTTTCAACCAATTCCCTTGCTTGGTTTCCATGTGAACACTGCAAAAACTCAGTAATATTTGGAAGTTAAAGAAAAATAAATAGAGAAAGAGAGTTTCGAGAAAAAGAAAAAAAGAAACATACCAATAGGATTAGGAGAAGATGAAGAAGGATGATCCAAGATACAAAATTTATTGCCATATTTCAAGTTTCAACGTTGAATTCTTCACAGTTATCAATGGAGTCAAATGAGTAGAACTATAAAGAGATAGAATTAGTACATAATCAAGTGATTTTTATTTACTAATTTTTTTTATAAGAAACTAATTCTAATATTTTATCTAATTTACTACATATAGTTTTCCAACATTTTGAACATTGGTTCGGTTCGATTTGTTATTCTATGGTTATATAATATATCATAATTACTTTTTAAAAAGTTACATTAATATTTATTTTCTCCCTTTTATTTTAAGAGACATTTTTTTATAATTAGAATCCATGTATTAGAAAAAGAGGAATACTATAGGTATAGTATAAATACATTACAACAAATTCACTACACTAACTACTTTACAAAAAATTGTAAATGACGATAAATTCACTACACTAACTACTTTACAAAAAATTGGAAAGACGATTATACCACTCGTAGTAGTTATACTCTATTCTCCACCTAGAATTAATGGCTAGCCACCACCTAAAAATATAGATAATTCTATGAACAATTTTAGTCGGACAATCGAACCCATCATTAAATAAAATTTAAGAGACATTAATAATTATTCTATGAGTTTTTTTATCAAATAATTTAATGGTTAAAATTCACCATTTTAAAAATAAATAAATGAAATATCGCAGATTTGAACCAACACATCTACGACTAATACTTTTGCAGAGTTATTAATTGAATTGGCTTAATGAAATATTGTCGTATTTGAAATTTATATACTCTTTAAGATAATAATTATTTATTGTTGTATTGGAATTTTACATACTCTTTATGATAATAATTATTTATGTTGATTTTTTTAAAGTAACAAATTTAAAACTTATTTTTCTTTTTCATAAGATTTCCATAGTTTAAAAAAGTTACATACAAATGAAAGACAAACAGACAATAAGTTAATTATTTTTATATTGAAAAATCAATCATTTTAAAACTATAATTTTAGATATATGAGACACAATATTGCTTTACATGATCCTTTGAACTCTTTGTAGAAGATCAATGTGTATAACGCTAGAAATTCAAAAGTGTCAAAATATAAATGATATTAAAACATGTTGATTGTGAAAATACATTTTTTGATGTATGGCCTGTTTGCTTGAAGCATCTTTGAAGGCTTTCAATCCATAGTAAAACTCACAGTTTTTAATACTACATGTGGAGAAACTCCAGTCAAGTCCACACGTGTATGTTTTTCTCCTACCCACATGTACATTATAACATATACTGATCTAAGTGTCAATCTTTCTTCTTGTGGTTAAGTCAAGAAGTTCATGAGTATCTCTTTCTTCACAGTTACTTCCGCTTTCTTAAATATATAAAAAGGGACATCCCTAACAAAGTCATTCATGTATTTGAATCATAAAAGATCCTACAATGAACCGCATACTCCCAAAGGTATCTAGAAACGTCTTACAACAATTAGGAAAAACATTATCAATAAGAAATAATATAATTATGAGGTGATACTTGCTGATAGTATGATACTCAACTTGTGACATATCATGAAATTATCTATCAATAGGAGCAACTAGAAGAAAATTTTGACGTGTTTGCAAACATCCGAAAACAGATTTATTTATTGTGATCGTATCAAATTTAATTACATGTCCTTAACACTTTTACTTAAAAGGATATTCATCAAAACATGTTGGGCTTTAGAGGGACATTATCCATGCTAGCAAAACTAATAAGGTCAAACGCCACAATCGTACCACAAAGACCATCTAGAGTCTTCAAAATCAAAGTATATCCCACAATCTCTTAAGATATGATCTTGTAACACCTAATATTGGTCCTAAAAGACCACAAAAGAGTATGTGGAATATCTATTTCGACTAACTGATCCTCTAAAAAACTTCACTTTTTACACCAATTTATTAATGTTTGAAGGGAACAACTCCCCACGATGTTTGTTTCTATCACAGGAAGGATAAAAGATTTTATTTTTATGAATATTCAGTTCAAGACCTAATCTTGGACTCATCTCTCAAATGATGTCAAAGGCATTAGCCATATCCTCAAAATCGCATACGGCAATCCCATCATCAATATACCAGGCATAAAGATTTTTTTTTCTATTTTATCTGATTTTATAAATGAGAAGGCGTAACACAATAGTAGAAAGGAGTTATCAATAGAAACATACATGTAATTATGAGGTGATACTTACTGATAATGCGATACTTTACTTGTGACATATAATGGAATTACCTATCAATAAGAACAACTAGAAGAAAAACTTGGACATGTATTGTTTGCAAAGATCCAAAAACTAATTTAGGTCTTGTGATCATATCAAAATTTACTTCCATGTCCTTAGCGCTTTTACTAAAAAGTTCATCGACCAAAACATGTTAGGCTTTAGAGAGACATTATCCATGCTAGCAAAAAAACTATGGTCAAATGTCATAATCGTACCTTAAAAACCATTTAGAGTCTTTTCAAAATCACAGCCATATCACATATCCCATTGTCTCTTAATATATGATATTGTAACACATAATATTGGTCCTCGGAAGCCACAAAAGAGTACGAGGAACCTTAATCTCGACTAATAGCTCCTTTAAAAAATTCCACCCTTTGCACCAATCTATTAATGTTTGAAGGCAATAAATACCCACAATGTTTATTTCCATCACATGAAGGAAAAAAGGTTTTAGTATTATAAATATTCAATTCAAAATCTAAGGTTTTAGTATTACAAATATTCAATTCGAAATCTAATCTTTGAGTAGTCTCTCAAATAATGTCAAAGACTTTATCAACCTCCTTAAAATCGAATACAATAGTCTCATCATCAAGATACCAATCATGAAGAAAAAGCTTGCAATTTTGTCTGATTTTATGAATAAGAAGGTGTAACAAAAGGGTAAAAAGGAGAAAACCCGACATGTAATTATGATGCTATACTTATTGGTAGTATGATACTTTACTTGTGTGATATCATGGAATTACCTATCAATAGGAACATCTAGAATAAGATCTTGAGCATGTGTTGTTTGCATACATCTAAAAATTGATTTATGTTTTATGATCATATCAAAATTTATTTCAATGTCTTTAACACTTTTACTAAAAAGAGAATTCACCAAAATTGTTGGGTGTTAGAGAGACATTTTACATGTTGCGAAAACTGCTAAGGTCAAGCATCATAATCGTGCCACAAAGACCATCTAGAGTCTTGTCAAAATCAGAGTCATACCACATATCTCATTTTATCTCAATAGAGGGTATTGTAACAGCTTATATTTGTCCTTGGAAGCCACAAGAGAGTATGAGGAACCTCTTTGACAATACCAATCTATTAATGTTTGAAAGGAACAACTCCCCCTAGATGTTTATTTACATCACATGAAGGACAAGATTTTAGTCTTATGAATATTCTATGCAAGGCCTAATCTTGAATTTTTCTCTCAAATGATGTCAAAGGCTTTAGCCACCTCCTCGAAATCCATATGGCAGTCCCGTCATCAAGATACTAAGCATGAAGGAAAATCTTGCAATTTTATATGATTTATGAATAAGAATGTGTAACACATGAATAAAAAGGCACAACTCCAACATGTCTCATTGTTGCACTCTAATTCCAACATAATATGTTCATCCACAAACTACAACCATGTTGCATGATAATAAAGAAACCTAACCCATAAAGAAATATATAGATATATCATCCCCACGTTATAAATTAGTGTTGACATGTCTACCAAGTTGTAATAGTTTGAAATATCTATTATGAGTATAGCCAAAGAACCATGTCCAGGTCACTTGCTCAACATTCTGGTGGCACTGTGAAAAATGCATCGGCACCACCAGATACCCTTACCCTAAACTAGAATTCATCTATATATTTTTCCACATATTTACTCACATATTTCATATTAACCTTGGAAACATGACACTTCCAAATAGTACCTATTAAAATAGGGTGAATCCCAATATCATGCCTTAATAATATCACTAAGGATGCGGAAGCTAGAATATCTATCGAACTTATTAGGCATCTTTCTCCTAGCCATAATTTAAATGTTGGAGTGATTTCACATATAAGATATCTTTCCAAAAATGAGTTTCCCCATCTAGCATGTCTAATATGTGTTAGAATTAGAAACCATCTCTACCAAGTGTCAAGTGATGTCCCTTTTGGAAATGGCATAATGCATGCATTTAAGAATAATTTCAGTTTCAGCCACAAAAGGGTTTCATAAAACATGGTGGATGATATGGAGGGGCACACATTTCTCTACCACCCTTAAAGACTCCTTCAACGCTAAAAACAAATCCTGGTCACCCTCAATGGCCTCCCATAATGCATTTTTTAGTTCATCACTGCAAAAGTGTATCGTTTCAACATAAGACACCATACGAGAGATGTCATTACTATTTTCCATTCCATTTGAGAAAAAATGGAACCTCAAAAATTCATAATTCAAGTCTCATATATGAGTAGAAAGTTAAAGATTATGGATACAAGAAGAGGTACATTGACAATGAGAAAGTTAAAGAATGGTTGATGATGTTTATGACCCCTATATTATGAAGCGATATATTCTCCTAAAAATTGCCTGACATATTTGGAAAGCTCTATCAAAAGCCTGTTATGAAAAAGCCTGTTATGATGAATTAAATGAATTCAAGTTTTCACATTGAATCTTTGAAATAGAATTGCAAATCCATTTGTGTTTATTATGGGTAATTGATTGAAGTTTTCAGTGAACTAGATCATCGTGACAAGGTGATTATGGAATGTGAAGAGGATGTTGTTGCTTATCACAAATCAGTTCAATAGAAAAGTGTACACATATTCCTCGCTTTGGATGGGGAGTTCAAATAGATCCATGGTGAAAAGTCTTGAACAAAGATCCCATTCCTTAGCTAGAAGAATGTTACTCAATGATTTGCCGCGAGTGCGTTCGACAAACAAGAATGATTTTTTAAACTCATTTTTTATAAATTAAAATGCTAAAAA